GCTACTCTCTGTGTATCCTGTGTATGCTATATGTGCACGCTGCCAGCCTGCGGCACCGCTCAACTAACAATTGGCTCAACGAAAACACAAAAGCCCGAACCCGACTCGCTCTCCCTCTCTCCCTCTCTCTCTCTCTCTCTATCTCTCTCAAGTGGAGGAGCATTGCAGTGTTCCCTGTTCGAGCTGCCTGTTTGTCCGTGTCGTCTCAACGCGTCGCCTGACAAGCTCTCTGTGCCTCTCTACGTCTACTCCTGCTGCTCCGCCTCCGTCTCCTTCTCTGACTCTATGTTTGCTGTGCGTCCAGTTGGAACGTAGCCGAGTCGTGCCGCCAAGTTTTTGGAGAGCGCACTGTAGGTAAACACACTCGCGCCTAAAAATAAAAGTATCTATAAGCTCTCTGTCGTGCAACAACTTGGGCAACCACTGCCGCTCGACTCGACGCGACTCAACTCGACTCGAATTGTGGCAGCTGCAACGCGTTTCGATTAGTTGCCACAACGGCTGTCCGTCTGTCCGTCTCTCCGTCTGTCTATCTGTCAGTCAGTCAGTCAGCCAGTTAGGCAGCCAGTCAGTGAGGGCCCCATGGCCAGGTCGATGCAGACAAAAAAGCGACGCTGTCTTGTTAATTTTTTTAGCTATTTATTTTGATGTTTTCGCTTTTACGCTCTCGTTAAGTCGCGCCAGACGTAATGCCAAAGTTCCAGCAACACAACTATCGCAAAAATACGTACGATAAATGCATGAAAGCTAAGAATGAAGTGCCAGAAAATAGAAGTGCCAGACCAAACTTTTACCCTGTAGGTAAAATACCTAGTAATACTGCTTTCTAAACGTTGAAAATATGTTATACTATGCTAAGTAGTATTTAGTGCCTGTAGAAGAAGTCTTAAAATGTCTTGAATATGCTACTCCATGATATATGATATCCTAGGAAGCCTTTTCTACCAGAAGGTTTGCTATCTGAACTTGAATGTGCAGGACTAGCAGGACTAGTTAATACCCTGTAGTATTTAATAATGTTATCTAAACATATTATATATGTATATGCTTATAGTTATATATTATTCATGAGATTATTGTGCAATATCTATTGCTTATAGATATCGATAATTACAGAAATATATGTATTCCTTACCTACCTTCAATACTATATACCCGTTTCATAATTTCAACTGGTATTATTATATATACATATAAGAAAGAAATTCAAATATAGTAAAATTCGCTGACCAACACGAACTGCAAAAGCAACAACACACACAGACACACACACACACACACACACACACACTGAGGCAGCTCTGCTCTGTTGCAGTTCCTTCTTCTTCTTCTTATTTTTGCAGTGTGTGCAACGTTGCATTACGAGATAGTTAAAAAGATATGCATACAAAATTGGAAATGCTAATTAATATGTTTTGCACAGCAGATACGTAGCGATACGCGAGAATTGCAAGTGAATCTGTTTACATAAGCGTTAACTGCACACTCACTTACAAGCACACACACACACAGAGAGCAAAAGAGACAAAGAGAGAGAGAGAGAGAGTAAAGTCGCATATACAGACAAATTAAATTAATTTTTATTAGGCGTCAAGCCATAAAGAACATAAAGAACAGCTGAGAGCCGAGCCGAGCTGAGCTGAGCTGCGCCGACGGCTGTCCAAACTGAATGAATGGGAAGCTCACATGACAACGCTTTATAATTAAGAACAATGCCAACTTATTCAAAGAGAGACACTCAGGGGGAGAGCAACGGAGCAACGGAGCAACGGAGCAACGGAGCGGGAGTGCGGGTGCGAGAGAGTGAGAGAGATGGATTACTTAAGCATATAGAGTTGTAGGCACTCATTCACTGGGCATTCAGGAATTCCACCGACATGACACATATTAATTGTTCGAGCAAGGTTTTTCCTGCAGTTATCATTCGAGTTTCATTGAGATTATTTCGAAAATCATGCGATATGTCGAGCACTACACATAGCTTTAGATTGAAGAGGTTGAAGGTGCAGATGAATTGAGAGGGATCTGTCCTCGAGTAGATGCCTATACACCCAGAGTAGATGCCTATAAAAGCAAGCGAGCTGTCTAGCGTTTCACATTGCTAATTACTAAAGACCTTCTCTAAAAGTGCTGGTCGTACTGATTCAGCAGGGAGCTGTCTTACGTATTAAACATGAATTTTTGTTCTATTTCAGCAAGCTAGAGTTAATCTCTAATAGTCAATGGAAACGCTTTGCTTCATTCAATAAAAATGCTAAGCAGCAGCAGCAGCCCTTCCCAGCAGCTAGCTTAAAGGAAGTTGGGCAAGATAACATCATATCAGATTATATTGGAACATTTCCTGCTAGACTTAATTGCTCAGCAGCTAGTCTCGGCGCAGCACTGATTGTTATGAGAGACACTTAAATATCCACAATAAACATCAAAGGCAGCCAATTTTAGGGTTGTCTATCGATTGTGCGCCAATTGTCATTGATAAAGAGCCAAAGCAATTACAATATAGCGAATAATATTCGCAGGCAACAGCAGCAGCAGCAGCAGCTGGCATTAAAATCTCTATACAGATGCCGTGAGTCATAATCGAGTCTGTGAGTGTGACCCAATGAGCAATATGCACCTACAACAACAATAATCGAAAGAAACACTTGGGTCTTGTTGGTTGGGCAACAATGAAGCCCAAGACAAGCGAAGCGATTACAAAGAAAAACAAGTAAGAAAACTCTAGTCGAGAGTGCTCGACTAGATACTACCCTGAACCAAA